TTAAGCCCCTGTTGAACATTGGTCGAACTACTATGGCTAAGAAAAAGAGTTCTAAAGTTTCAAGTCCCCCTATTAGGAATGTTGAAATTTAAGCGTGTTTTTAAATCATTTAAAACAAGAAAGGAAAGCTAACTTCGGGCGGAGCCGAAGTTTATATACCCTTGCAGTTAAAACCGGATATATATCGCAAACATCGGATATAGTTGGCCGATCCTTATGGGAATATGAATATATAATCCAATTTATTACAATACAAAATCTAAAAAAAGTCCCAAACTTCTATCTTCAAAAATACGAAAGTTGATATTTCTACCAAATACCATTTCCGATCGTTCAGTTATATGGCAGCTATAAGATATAGTCGGCCGATCCTTAGGAAATTTGGCATGTCGTATTATTTTGCCATAAATAGCTCTCACCTAAAATTTGAACTCTCTAACTTTAAAAACACCAAAAATATACCATTTCCGATCGTTCAGTTATATGGCAGCTATAAGATATAGTCGGCCGATCCTAATGAAATTTGGTAGATCGGATCAACTAACCAAATATATAATCTGTACCAAGTTCCAGTTTTCTATCTTAAAAAACACGAAAGTTGGGTCATTTCCGATCGTTCAGTTATATGGCAGCTATAGGATATAGTTGGCCGATCCTTAGGAAATTTGGCATGTCGTATTATTTTGCCAAAAATAGCTCTCACCTAAAATTTGAACTCTCTAACTTTAAAAACACCAAAAATATACCATTTCCGATCAATCAGTTATATGGCAGCTATAAGATATAGTCGGCCGATCCTAATGAAATTTGGTAGATCGGATCAACTAACCAAATATATAATCTGTACCAAGTTCCAGTTTTCTATCTTAAAAAACACGAAAGTTGGGTCATTTCCGATCATTCAGTTATATGGCAGCTATAAGATATAGTCGGCCGATCCTTATAAAATTTGGCATGTCGTATTATTTTGCCAAAAATAGCTCTCACCTAAAATTTGAACTCTCTAACTTTAAAAACTCCAAAAATATACCATTTCCGATCAATCAGTTATATGGCAGCTATAGGATATAGTCGGCCGATCCGGGCCGTTCCGACTTATATACTGCGTGCAAAGGAAAGAAGGGTGTGTGCAAAGTTTCAAGTCGACAGCTTTAAAACTGAGAGACTAGTTTGCGTAGAAACAGACAGACGGTCAACTCAGGAGGTGATCCTGATCAAGAATATATATACTTTATAGGGTCGGAGATGTCTCCTTCATTGCGTTGCACACTTTTGACCAAAACTATAATACCCTCTGCAAGGATATAAAAAAAAACCACACCTACTTTTCTAAAAGAAGACTTTGGCTTTATAAAACACTAAAAAAGAACCAAATTGAAATATCTTGCTTAGTTCTACAGTAAGCATGTTATTTTTAAATAGGACGCGGTGCCACGCCCACAATTTTTTCAAATCTGAGTTCTTTTGGCCATATAAACTCAAATCAAAATTCACAATCTAAATATCTTGCTTGGTTTTTGAGTTAGAGTGTGTTTCTTAATAAGTGGGCGGTGCCACGCCCAATCTTAAATCTTAAATCTATTGACCATGTGAACTCAAATCAAAAATCACAACTTAAATATCTTGTTTCGTTCTTGAGATATTATTTTTGCCAGAAAAAGTGGTCATATTTCCTATAGTGGTATGTATGAACACTGGCCTTTGCAGTTTCACTTATCCATTGTAAGAGATATATCAAAAGTTCCGTTTCTCTTACCAAATGTAAGCGATATTTAAAAAGTTTCTCCATTTCAAGGGCTACTAATACACTTTCAAAACTAATACAAATATCATCGTTAGAGCCAATTTCGAATACAATAATTTCTCTTATTTTAAAAGAAGTAAAGGATGTTTCGATAGTTTTATTGGTTGGAAAGCTATTTAACGTAAGCATATAATAGTTAAAACAAGAGAGAAAAACATACTTTTGGTGGGGTTGAATTTTATATACCATTGCAGATGAGATCCGATATGTATTGCACATTTCGCATGTATAAATGTAAAATTATTCATCTCCTCCTTTGACCATTTTGTGTCAAGACACCTGCAAATCGACTTTCCTCATGGTGTTTAACTTTACTCATGGTGTTCCAACAATCTCCTCGTCCTGAATTGCTCCAAGTTCCGGCTTAGGACTTATCATCGCTTTCATCGTACTCCATCAAATATAACGTCCTAAATCGTGTATCTTCGACAAATGATTTTGGGACATTATTTCATCACAAGTTGTCATTTAACGACCACAACTCTGTGATGGCGAACAAAGCTACAAGAATATTCAAATTTATAAAACTATGGTCAAAAGAGTTTGACGGTCCTTATACAAATTTTTTACGTAATACGTAATACCACAAATACTGCTCTTGTGTTTGGTTTCCCCTTTTCTCTATTGAATTTGTGCTACAACAATTATTTTTAACAATTAAATACAACAAGTGGGTCTTCTCCCACTAAAACGGTATTAAATAGTTAAACATACCAACAATGCAGGGTGGAAGATTCTATGCTGGTGCCTTGCTTCTTAATGCTTTACTACAGGGTTAAGAAACCTCAAGAGGTCAATTATAATAATTATTTTCTGTCTACGGCGCTCATTGTAATAATTAGATCCTCTTAAGTCGCCGTCAAATAAATAGATCCTTTTCAGTTTCTTTCTATTAATTTCTTTTATTTTAAGTGAGCCACATTTCGTTTCGGTACTCTGGGTTATTCGTAAGTGTTCTTTCGATACAATTTTACTTATTCTAAACCTTTCATAAAAATACTTTTACTTTTTACACTTTCCAGAACCTTTCAACCTCTGCGGTTACAGATTCGCAGAAAAGAGAATATGTATTTTTTAAGAGGGAGGACTTTTTCCAGATTGGATTTAGGACTGAATTGTAGAGTAGTAACTTGTAGTCTAAACACAGTGGCGATCGTGAGTTTATGATCCAGTGAAGGCTGCTAGCTTTTAGTTTTAAGTGCATCTTCTTGCATTCGATATGCTCACGCCAGGTTAGTCGCCTAAGAAGGTGGGTGCCAAGGTACGTTATTTCGTTAGCTTGAAGTATCTGCATAACATTTAAATGTTAAATTTTTACACTTTTGTTCATTTATTTTAATGCGCCAGTCGGACAGCCACCTTTTCACTACTATTAGATGATTAGCCAGTTGGTTTGATGCGTGCGTTGAGCATCTGTACCGACTAAGGATAGTGGTATCGTCAGAGAACGTTGACGTTGTTAGTTGTGCTTTCGTAGGAATATCCGCAGTATACAAAATACAAAGACACGAGTGCGCTTCCTTGTGCAACTCCAGCTTCGATGATGTAGTCGCCCGAAGTAGCTGCGTTGCATACCCTATTGTAGAGGTATAATTCCAGTAGTTTGTGGGTGTGCATTAGTCCATCAAGAACGTAAATAAAAGTTGCTTGAGAGTGGGTATACATAAATATTTGTTGTTTTTCAATTCACTTTTTAAATAAAAAATAGCTCTTGATAAAAAAATAAAAAATTTGCAGTTCATGGCGGATGAAAACACATATTAAAACCTTTTTTTAAATTTACATACGACCTTTTTTCAATTTTAGCTGACCATAAAAAATATCAAAAATACTCGATATATCGATTTTTTTTGGTGATATTTCTTAATATTATCGATTGATATTTTTTTCACAGCAAATATCATCAATACGATATTTTTTCAAAAACCAACAACCCTATTTATAAGTAAGAGTCTACTATTGTAACATGGAAGGTACAGATTTTCATCCCAGTTTAGACCTCTGAAAGGTCTAAAGGTGAAAGGTGAAAAAGTGAAGAAATTCTTTTGTACGGATTCTATGCGGTCTTGTTGTACTCCATATTAGGGACTCCAGACACATGAACCGTACTCCAGAATCGGACGTACCAAAGAAATTAATAATGTTTTTTTTTGTACGGGTCATTAAATTCTTTTGACCACCTTTTAATAAAACCAAGGATTCCTTTTGCCGTATTAACTATTAAGGAAATATGGTCGGAAAATTTAAGTTTAATGTCTAATAGGACGCCGAGATCATTAAGCTGGGTTAATTTTTCTAAGGCATTAATAGAATACGTAGCTTGCAGAGGGCAAGAACGATAAAAAGACATATGCTTGCATTTTGATCCATTAGATCATTAGCTAAACACCATTTTTGAAAGTTATCAAGGTCAGACTGAAGACTGCATTGGGCAGAGATGGATTTGTACTGAAGACAAAGCTTTACATCATCTGCATACATAAGAACTAGAGAGTTCGTTAAAGCAGGGGGCAAGTCGTTTATAAAAAGCGTAAATAATAACGGGCCAAGATGACTTCCTTGAGGGACGCCAGATGTAGCACGGACCAGGCGAGATTGTTTGTTTTTAAATAAGACTCTTTGTGTTCTTCCATCTAGGTAGCTGGAGATTCACGTTAAGAGGTCTTTAGGAAAACACAGAATATTCAGTTTACTCAACAAGAGTGAGTGATTAACTGAATCAAATGCTTTGCTGAAGTCTGTGTAAATTATATCAATTCGATATCCCTTACAAAAGACATCTATGACTGTTTATGAATAGTGGACTGTATTATGGTTTTTATTATAGTTTTATGCATTTATTTTCACTATTTAGCGGGTTTACAATACTTTAAGCGGGGTTGCTATCAGCGAGCGGTTGCGGTTAATATCAACAAGCGAATGCGGCCGGCTTGCAAAACGTGCAGAAAAAGAACAGAAAAACGATCGCGTGATGTTCTAATACTAACGCATTGCACTGCAATTTCGGCTATGCGTGCGAGCTTAAAGCTCCCAAATGGTTACAATACAATGATGTGCGCAAAAATAGGTACTATAGGTAATAGGTAAAAATAGGTAATAGGTAAATAGGCAAAAGTAAAGAAGCAAATGTAATACTATTTAAATTCAACATAAAGACGAACTATTTCCCAACATACCGGGCCCCCTGAACGACGGTTCAGTTCAAAGGAAGCACAGCAATTTTCGTAATAGGGCGCTTGTAGATTCCCTTGGCGGTTTTAACGGTGACCACCCGAACCCTCTGATCCTGGCCAGGATGAACTTCGGTGACTCGTCCTAGCATCCACTTGCTTGGCGGTTGATTGGGCTCCTTCAGCACAACCAGTGTGTCCACGGCAACATTTGGAGCATCTTGATGCCATTTCGTGCGAGGTTGAAGCGTGCTGAGATACTCGAGATTCCAACGTTTCCAGAAACCTTGAACCTTGGCCTGTAGTTGTCTCCAGCGCTGCAGTCTGTTGATATTTACATCCAGGAAAGATGGTTCTGGTACCGAAGTGAGAGGCTGACCTGTTAGAAAATGAGAAGGAGTTAGCGGGTTAAGACTGTGATCGCTAGGTGCGCATAAAGGGCGAGAGTTCAGAAGCCCTTCAATCTGAATTAACAGGGTCGAACACTCCTCGAATGTCAAGGCACTGCTGCCAATGACTCGTTTTAAGTGCAGCTTTATGGATCTCAAACCAGTCTCCCAAATGCCTCCGAAATGGGGAGCAGATGGCGGAATGAAATGCCAATTAATCTCGTGGCTGGCCATGAAGCTTGAAATTTCTTCATCTTGACTTTGAGCTATTGCCATTCGTTGCATTTCAGCTAAATCTCTTTTGGCTCCATGGAAAGTCGTTCCATTGTCCGAGTATAAATCCGATATAGGTCCACGTCGAGACCAAAAGCGTTTGAAAGCGGCTAAAAAGGCGGATGTCGTCAAATCGCTGACCAATTCTATGTGAATCGATTTTGTAGATAGGCAGACAAAGATCGCAAACCAAGCTTTGCCAAATCTTGGTGTCCGGCCTTTCGATGTTTTGATTGACACAGGTCCAGCATAATCCAATCCAGTGTGCAGGAAACAACGGGCGGGTTGAACTCGAAACTCCGGTAAATCAGCCATAAGTTGAGAACTCGTGTGTCTTCGCTGCAGAAAGCAAGTTCTGCAATTGAATACAGTTTTGCGGACGAGGTTCCGAGCTCCTAGAATCCAATACCTTTGGCGTAGACTATGAAACGTGTATTCGACTCCAGCGTGTAACAATGCAGCATGTTGATAGCGAACTAGCAGACCAGCTATTGGAGATTCCTTAGGAAGGAGAATGGGATGCTTTGCGTCATAAGTAGCTATAGAATTATCGATGCGACCACCAACACGCATTACTCTCTGCTCGTCTAAAAAGGGTGTGTAGCGGATCAACTTCGATTTCTTCGACAATGGCTGTCCGGTAGTTAACTGCTTGTACTCCACGTTGAAGAACTCCTCTTGAGCGTGCGTAAAAATCTTAGCTCGTGCATATTGTAGCTCCCACGCCGATAGGAATGGTGAAAGTCGATTCCTCTCACGAAGACGATGAACGAAGCGAAGGCAGTAGCTGACTATCCTTAATAAACGGGACCATGAGGAGGATTTGTTGATCATACAAGATAGCGAATTTCCGTCGTCGGAAATGTGTAGATTAACTTTCGTTTCAGCCTTCATCTCTAGGCAGGCCTCTTCTTCTGTCGACAGTACAAACTTAGCTTTAACAGGTGGCCAAGCTGAACGTGACTGAGATAGCCAAGGTGGTCCATTCCACCATATTTGATGATCCACGAGGTCCTTTGGCAGTACTCCTCGCGATGCGCAGTCTGCGGGATTATCACCACTTCGAATATGTTGCCAGCAGCTGCGTGGGCAAACCTCTAGAATTTCAGCAGTGCGGTTGCAAACATAGGTGTTCCAAGTCCTAGGCGGAGAAGATAGCCAATGCAGGACTATTTCAGAGTCTGACCAACAATTAATTCTGGAAATAGGAACAGTTAATGATTGCTTGACCAGATAAATCAGTTTAGAGAGTAAATGAGCTGCGTTTAACTCTAGTCGCGGAATGGAGATAGGCTTAATAGGGGCTACGCGAGTTTTAGCCATAATCAGTTTGACAGCATATCCATTGTTGACTTCGACGCGGCTATAGATGACGGCAGCATACGCTTGAGATGATGCATCAGCAAATCCGTGCAGTTCCATTTCTTGATGTGGTGCAGATATGTAGCGAGGAACTCGACAAGTTTCCAATAAATGCATTTCCGATGCAAACTGTTGCCATCGTGTACATATTTGATGCGGTAGTACTTCATTCCAATCGACAGAACTTAGCCAACTATCTTGAAATAGGATCTTCAGAAAAACAACAGTTGGCGAAAGCAAACCCAGCGGGTCGTAGATCTTGGCTAGTTCTGAAAGCAATATGCGTTTAGTAAGAGCAGTCGTAAATGCGGGGGTTTCTAATTTGAAGAAAATATAGTCCGGTTTTGGTCCCCAACACAATCCCAGGACTTTAACAAATCGAATTGAGCGGTCTTCCTCTAAATCCTCTGGTGGATACTCACAAATCTCCTTTGGCAACGACTTTAAAAGGGCGTAACAGTTTGAGCTCCACTTTCGCAATTTGAATTGAGCTTCGCTAAGAAGCAGAATCAATTCATCTTTGAGTGCAATGAGATCCTTGATGTTGTCGCACCCAGTAGGAATATCATCAACGTACGCGTCTCTGTTGAGCACGACAGCAGCGGTGGGATACAATTCGGCATAGTCATTTGAGAGCTGTTTAAGAACTCGAACTGCAATAAACGGCGATGAAGCTAATCCATATGTTACTGTCAACAGTCGATAATGATCCAGCGTAGCGTTTTCATCCTTCCTCCAAACTATGCGTTGGTACTGTGTATGTTCGTCCGACACCAAAATGCCTCTAAACATCTTCTCGATGTCTGCACAAAATACATAACGATGCTGACGAAATCGAAGGCATACTCCAATTAAGTCCCGTTGAATAGGTGGTCCTATATGCAGTCGCGAATTAAGAGAATGACCCGTGGAATCCTTTCCAGAGCCGTCAAATACCACTCGGCAACGTGTGGTAGTACTATCTGGCTTAAAAACTGCATGGTGTGCCAAATAGTTGTAGCGTGCGGGATCCTCACCGCCTGCAGCAGCCGGAATCAATTCCATATGTCCTCGATTTAAATAATCATCCATGAAATCCACATATTGTTGTTTGAGTGCGGGGAATCTTCTAAATTTCCTTTCCAAAGCGGCGAAGCGGTTTAAAGCCTGTGGCAAAGTGGAGCCAATTGGCGTGCGGGGCTCCTTGAATGGGTATTGAACAATATAAACACCATCTTCTCTACGAGCATGTGTTTTCAGAAAATGTTGTTCGGCGGGATCACTGGCGTCTATCGTTGTTTTACTCGGATGCACTTGTTCCATGTCGATAAATGAGCGAACTAAGGAATCCAAATCTTCATAAGCGTGATGAACTTGTGCGTGCGTAGATGCTTTGTTACCATCAGTGTAGCTGCCTGTAATAACCCAATAACCCATAAGTTCCACAGCTGATCAGCGCCTAAGATAACGTCGATTTTGCCCGGAGATCCAAACGTCGGGTCAGCTAGCGGTAGGCTGCGAATCTTGGTCCAAATAGTTGCATTTGATTTGACCTGCTGAGCTGGAATCGTAGAAGTTAGAGAACTCATAATTAGACAAGAGACTTCCAATGATGCAGTCGTGGTTCTTGAGAGTAAGGTGAAGCTAGCGCGACCTCGGCTAACACCAGCCGGGTTAGCACCTAAACCAACTACCGAAATGCGGGCATGCGTGCGAGGAATTCCGATCCTTTGGATGAACGACTCAGATACCATGGTTATTGTTGATCCAGTATCGAGCAATAACCTACACGAGGTCTCGTTTCCCCATGTGTCAATAACATTGGCGACAACAGTTGGCAGTAGGGCTGGATTGTTGGCCCTCTCCAAAATATGATGGCTAACAGCGGCAGTATTCGTATCAGCGGCAGTCGAGTGCGCAGGTGCCACAGGAACCGATCTTGCTTCAATCGGGTGTACTAACGTGTGATGCTTAGCGTTGCACTGACGGCAAGTGTTCGATGAATTACAATCCCTGACTTGATGCGATCGACTCAAGCAGTTGAAGCATAATTTTGTATCCTTGGCGAAGGTGTGGCGGCTGACTACATCCAGTGCCTTGAATTCATTGCATGAATATATAGAATGCTGTCCTTGGCAATATATACATTCGCGAGACGACTGAGTTGATCCACTGGCATGAAAAGCGGCTTGGCGGCGTTTACTCTGGGCTGGTCTTGAGGGTTGCATTGCGGGTAAATCCTGACAAGACTCCAAAGTATCACAATGAGCGAAAAGAAAGGCGAACAGCTCCTCTATGGTGACGTCTTCAGTGGCCGATAAACTGCAGTTGGCCCAAGCTTGTTTAATTTCTGAACCTAACTTTGACAGCAAAATATGAATGAGCCATACATCGCGGCTGTCACAGTTCAGCGCATGTAAGCCTCGAATGCATTCGTCGGCCGAGTCAATTACCTTGCGTAATTCTGCAATATTCGAATTGTTAGCGGTTGGCAACGATAAAAAATTCTGAACAAACGATCGAGCGATGAGCGACCTTTTATTATAACGATTTTCTAATTTTTCCCATGCGTCTTGGTAATTATCATTACAGACGGCAATATGTTTAATTAGGGACAGTGCTTCTCCCTCCAGATATGATTTGAGATAATAAAACTTTTGGCACTTGGAGAGCTTTTCGTTACTATTTACTGAGCTTAAGAACAGATCACTAAACTGGCTCCAATCCTCATATTTACCAGAAAATGTGGGAATCCGAATTTTCTCAAACCTTAAATCAGCAGTTCCCCATGAAGTATGAATTTTCTCCAAAAGGTTGTTTTGTCCCTCAAATAGGCGTTCCACTGTACTTGAAAGTAGAATGTTCGACTGGTCCTGTCCATGATCCTGACCTCCCATGTCCTTGATGGCGTTACTAAAAATAGCATGCGCGGCGTAGAACTTGTCTTCGTATTCGGGTATGTCCAATCCAGGGTCTTCATATCCCTCCTCCAAGTGAAATTCCACTAACTCATCTGAGAGCTCCATAAAGTGGTTGAAAGTGGCGACCAAACGCTCCAGCTTGAATTGCAATGTTTCCACATTCTCACATCTTTGTGAAAACTCCACAGCACTGTTGAGGGTGCGCGTTATTTGCCCCTTGCAGGCACCACGTTGTTGAATCGTTCTATGCATTATCGCGTTCATGACGAAAAAACGGTAAATTTGTCTCTAATGTTCACAAAAGTAAATGCACAAATAAACGCGGGTATCCGGCTCGAACGGACCAAAAATTGTTATGTTTATGAATAGTGGACTGTATTATGGTTTTTATTATAGTTATTTAGCGGGTTTACAATACTTTAAGCGGGGTTGCTATCAGCGAGCGGTTGCGGTTAATGTCAACAAGCGAATACGGCCGGCTTGCAAAACGTGCAGAAAAAGAACAGAAAAACGATCGCGTGATGTTCTAATACTAACGCATTGCACTGCAATTTCGGCTATGCGTGCGAGCTTAAAGGTCCCAAATGGTTACAATACAATGATGTGCGCAAAAATAGGTACTATAGGTAATAGGTAAAAATAGGTAATAGGTAAATAGGCAAAAGTAAAGAAGCAAATGTAATACTATTTAAATTCAACATAAAGACGAACTATTTCCCAACAATGACAAAGGATGTCAACTCCAGTAAATTTGTGGTGGTGGAGCGACGCTTAATAAAGCCATGCTGACAGGGAGATATAATTGAAGAGCAAAAGTGTTTCAAATGATGGGTAATTAATTTTTCAAATAGCTTTGGAATTGCCGACAACTTAGATATGCCTCTGTAGTTGGCAGCATCGAACTTTTTCCTTTTTTTATGTAGGGGAATTATGAACGATTCCTTCCACTTAAGAGGAAAAATCGAGGTTCCCAAAGATAAGTTGAAAAGTCCTAGAAGAGGTTTGCACAGAGCCCTGGTACAATATTTTAGCACACAGCCTGGTACTGCATCGGAGCCTGGCGAATAAATGGGTTCGTTTTTTAGAAGATCAGATAATCAGCTATTCTCGTAGAAAAATGGACAGAAAATAAGATTTGCTGATAGTGGTATGCGTAAGGCTGATCTGTCAATTTAGGGGGAGAATAAGTGGTTGGAAAAAATTCTGCGAATAGATCAGATGAATTTTCAAACGTAAGCAGGTGGAATTTTACATATTTTACATATACATATTTACGCCTTGTGTTTACAAAATTTTAAAACTGAGTAGGATCCTGAGGATTCTGAGGGCACAGTGGTTCAAGGTATAGTGTTTTTTTTTGTCTTTTTAACAAGACAATCTCCTCATCCCATCCTATTTTTGTGAAAACTGGCTATGTGAAAACGTCATACACACCAAGTGTGCCGGGTTCACTGCCGCAGTTTCGGATGCCATTTCCGGTAGGTCTGGTCTACATTAATGTTGTGAAAATTGTCGTGCTGTCCAAGACGAAATGAGATCGTTCATGGGACAGACTAAGAATGGATTTAAAGAGTTGATCACTGGTTTTCGTAAAATCAATGACCAGCTGTGTGCGCTTTACACTCAGTTTAGCGGCCTTCAGCTGCTAACTGAGCCCTCTAAGCTTAAGAAATCCACTGTTTGTGATCCTCCTCAGCCTGCTCAGCCGTCAATAACGCAGCCGCTCATATCTTTGGCCTTCCCAAGGGCTAGGAACAATTCGCTGTCCGAATTTCTCAAGGAAACTGAGCAATTTTCTGATATGTCCTCCGTGGTATCCCTTCAAATGATGCCACAGGTCCTAGTAAATGAAACCCCCGTCAGAGTCACAAAAAAGGGTATTCCACAGTCCGGACCACCGGCACCGACTTATGCTGCAGTTCTCGTACCTGCGACTCCAAAACCCTCCAAATACAGGTGATTCCTCCATCGAAACATATATTTGTTTCTCTGCTTGCCCCTGATACTTCAGAGATTGATATCTCGGCTTATATCAAAGCCAAAACTAAAGCCGATATAAAGGTGGAGGACATAGCAAAATTTAAATATAATTATGTTAGGTGCATGTCTTATTTCAAGATTCATGTGCCTGCGCTGATGTTCAAGACAATTTGTTCATTTGATTTGGAACATTTCGTCCAAGAACATCAGCCTAGTTCCGTGAAGAAAAAATTGTTGAAACCAGCGGGAGTTAAACTACCCGATATCAACACTGACCAACCTTCCACCTCTTCTTCGTCCACTAACCCAAAAAACTAGTATCGTCATTAACACTTACCTGTCAGAATACTAGGGGGCTATATAGCAAACTTCCTAAACTATATTCTGATAGTTTTTCTTTGCATCCCATGCTATAGCCTTTACAGAAACTTGGTTAAAGCCGGAGATCTTTAGCTCCGAAGTTTCTCCAAGTCAATACACCACTTTTAGGCGAGATTGACCTCAGCGAAGGGAGGGCGAAGTCCTCATTTCGGTAGACTCCCAAGTAGATCCGAAGATACGAATGAAATCAAAAGAGTTTGGTGACATAGAATTTATTTGAATTAAAATCATTTTGTCCGCGAAATCTTTATACATTACATGTTCATATATACCGCTTTCGTCTGAACCGCCCACATATTGGCAGCATTTGTCCGCTATTCAATCCGTCTTTAATCTTATGACGGATCGTGACCAACTTGTAGCGGTGGGCGACTTTAACAACCCAGAATAAAAGTGCTCCAACGTCGATAACTCAGAATCTTTGTCACTTATAACTTACCATGACTTCAACGCGGACATGTTTGACATGTCCCTAGGCCGGATTAACCATGTTAGAAATTCGTAAGGTCGGCTTTTAGACTTATGCTTTGCATCTGATCCCGATACTACCGCTCTCTCCAGAGCTTTGTCCCTTTCAACCCCAGAGCATCCATATCACCCCACGCTGGAGGTCTCAATCGACTAATTAAACTAATAAACCATTCCTGGTATCGATCAGATACCATGCCATGCGTGGCAAATAAGATTCGCTGCTTCCGTAAATTTCTGATTCTGATTTTCACAAACTTGACAGCCTTATCGATACATATGATTTGTCCGATATTCTGGAATGCACCGATCTTAATGTCACCTTAGAAAAATTTTACTGAACTTTAAATACATTTTTTGACTCCTATGTGCCATGGAAATATCCGTCCGCTTCAACAAATCCTCCTTGATTTATAAGATGCCTCACTAACCTAAAAAATACTACAAATAGGTTCTTACTGAAATATAAAAAAACCTACAGTATTTCTCAAGATATCTACTAGCTCGGTCAAATTTTACCTTGCATAACGCTGAATGTTACGGCAATTATATTCGCCGCTGCCAAATAGGAGGCCGAAGCGGGAGCTTTGGAGAGTGCAAAGGAAAAATGCAGAAATAGAGATAAGACGGGAAAGACGCAGAGCTGAGCTATGCCTGGAATGAATTTTAACAAATTATTAATTCGCCTCCAAATATCCCGCAGCACACGCGAAGCGATACGGTTTGATTTAAAACTGAAGTTTCTCAAAAAATTCGATTCTCAAGCAAGTAAACAGGTTCACCAATATGTATCATAAACACAGTGCGCACAAAAAAAAAAAACACGACCATTCGCTTAAAAGGATGAGAGAGAGAAGGAGTTAGAGAGTTCGAGAGTAAGAGAGTTCGAATTATGCGAGTGCTTATGGAATTTATGGCAAAATAATAAGACATGCCAAATTTTATAAGGATCGGTTATCTATATCTTAAAGCTGCCATATAACTGAACAATCGGAAATGACCCATTTTTCGTGTTCTTGAAGATGGATGCTTATTTTATTTTTTAGCTTTATTGTAATAAATTTGTTATATTATGATATTCTCATAAGGATCGACCAACTATATCCCATTTTTTCGGTTTTAACTGCAAGGGTATATCAACTTCGGCTCCGCCCGAAGTTCGCTTTCCTTTCTTGTTTTTAATTCAAAATTTTTAATTCAAATCACATGGCAAATTTCACAATTCCAATCGCGTCTACGATTAATAATACTTGATATCAAAGTAAAAGAAAATGTGAAGAACAACGGAAACAACCGCGACCAGACTTTACACAACTTTACACGAGTTCATGTTATTGCACTTTCAAAATATGCGCCACGCGCCGTTTTTGTCGTCTATGTCTCTGTGATCCGTTTTTTAATTTAATAATGAGAAACCGATCAACTTTATATTAATGCTTCAAATGAGTTCACTGTTCTATTATTTTTGGTTCCCTGTCGTATTGACAAGCTAATCACGAGTGAAAATTTGGCAACGTCGCACAAGTTTACTTCTACTATGTATTCTATTCTATGTATTCTATATTCTATTATTATTTCGTGCAAATTCACATTTCTATAGCGCGCTTTTAGATCTGCAAGCGAATCTTGTAAGAACCCTTTTTCTAACGATCGCGAGGTGGCCCGCTGGGTACTGAGCCATAATTGACATTAATTGGTAGTATTCATTTATGATATTGCGACAATACAGCTAAAACTAATCAAATAATAATTTATGAGAATTAATGTTACACTTTATTGAGGTTAAATTTTTCTATTACATTTCGACAATACCGTTATATACAATAATTTAATTTTATGTTTTTTTTTTTATATTTTTAACTTAAAAATACATAGAAAGCACTTTTTAAGGTCAGTTATAAACAAGAATTTTACACTTGTGCTCATGCACACGGTTCAAAAAAAAATTTATGTGGAGCAGGTAAAATTTTTAGCTTAAAAACCATATAAAACTAAATAACGTAGTAAAAAAATAATTATTTGAGTAAACATGAATTTTTTTTTAATTTTTATGTTGTTAATTCAAATAATTAATCATATTATATGGTTGCAAGCTATAAGGATAAAAAGTAAATAATTCTGGTTTATTCTTAGATAGTATAAAAATCATTTTCTTTTGTTTATACCCTTGCAGAGTGTATTTTAATGTTCGTCAAAAGTTTGCAAAGTATCTTTGACATCTTCAATAATGTATATATAGTATAGATCAGAATCACCTCCTGATTTGATATATGCATGTTCGATGTCTGTTTTAAGTTAAACAGAAAACTTTTAACATAACTAATCTCTCATTTTTTAAGCTATCGACTTCAAACTTTGCACACATCCTTCTTCTTTCACATCGGCCTAATATATACTATGACTGTTAATGGAAATGCTATTTGGTATTTTTATACCCGGTACTCGTCGATTGAAAAGGTATAATGTGGATTTCAGAGACTATAAGAGATAGAGCTTTGGCACGGAGACTCCTACAATGCCTACGAAGTTTTGGAAAGTTTTCTGAAAAACTTTTGATGCCAAACTATTTTTATAGGTATGTTCAAATGTTATCCAAATCAACCGAATTTAAAAAGAGATATACCATTTTCCGTACAAAGGACTTAAATTAAAAAAAAACGAGTGTCAAAGACTATAAAATATAAAACTATTTGTTTTGGAACTTGGACTCTTATGGTGTTCGTGAAGGTCAAGCTAATGTAAAAATTTGTTGCTGAGAACCCATACTTTTAAAGATTAAATTATAAAGGTTACTTGTGTGTGGAAGAGATGAGTACCGGGTATAACATAGTCGACTATACTCGACTTTAGCCCTCCTTTCTTGCTTAAGTTAGAGAGTTGCAATTTTTTCTGTATTTTATAGAAATACTATTGAGTCTTTTAACAAGCCGATTGTACGAGGTGTGTTTAAAAGTAAAATGACTTTTAAACTGTCACGGGCAACATATTTTCGATAATCGATTTCTTTGTTTTGTTATGTTGGTGCCCTCTTCCCTAATATCTGTACCAAGTTTCAACTAAATGCCTTTTTTTGTTTGGTTTTGAGAGGCGTAAAGGTTGCAAGTTGTTTTGCGTACTCGCCAATTTTTTCCTATCGAAAAATATGGATCAAAGGATTTGCATCAAATTTTGTGTAAAAAATAAAATAAAGTGCTCCGAAACACTTGAAATGTTACAGTGGCATACGGTAAAACTGTTCTGAGTAAAAAAAATGTTTACAAGTGGAACAAACTCTTTCAAGATGGCCGGGAAGATGCCAATGACGAGCCTCGCTCTGGACGCCCAAGCACGTCAACAACTGATGAAAACGTTCAAGCTGTGAAGAAATTTTTGTTGGAAAATCCTCGAATAACTATCAGAGATGTTGGTGAAGATGTCGGCATATCGCATGGCTCGTGCCTTGAAATTTTTGAACTTGAGTTAGAGAAGTTTGTTCCAAAATTGCTGAATTTTGACCAAAAGAACCGTCGCATGAGCTTCGCTCAAGATCTGTTGAATGACGTCAACGACGAACCAGATTTACTGAAAAGGTTCATAACTGGTGACGAATCATAGGTATATGGAATGATATGGAAGCCAAAGCTCAATTCAATCGATTGGAAGCCAATTTATGATATAGAAGCCAAAGCTCAATTCAATCGATTTGCAGCGATTGAAGAGATAAAGACTGCATCGCTGGAAGAGCTCACGGCTATACCGAAAAGGGAAGTGCTTTTGGGAAGTGCTTTGAGGATTGGAAGTACCGTTGGCATAAGTGTATTGTATCAGAAGGAGATTATTTTGAAGGAGACAACATAAATATTGATAAATAAATTAACAGTTTTTCTTGAAAATACAGAGTCGCTTTATTTTTTGAACACACCTCGTATCGTTTAGAAGCCATATCCTATATCGAAACGATCGGAAATGACACCATTATTGTGTTTTTTAAGTTAGAAGGTAGCGACTTTCTACAGTTTCTATATTGGATTAATAAATTGGTTTAATAATTAATAATTTCTAAGGATCGTCCGACAATATCCCATAGCTGCTTAGTCGTTCAACTGATCAGAACCGTCATTACTTTGGTCTGATGATGATTTTCTTACCATATTATTTCGATAATGATTATTTTTGAGATCTAATCCCATATATATCATATACAAAAAATTTGACACCTTACTGCAAGGGTATATTAACTTCGAATCTGCCCGAAGATATATTATATTTACTCATAAATGTATAATTTTTTAAATAATTCCTACAGGCCTTATCAAAATTAATTAATATGGGCACTTTTATTTATTTTTATATTTGCATATAAAAGAAATACGTGAATTAATTTGAAACGTGGACGTCGTTATAACAATAAAAGAATAAAATATTAGAGGAGATCTGCCTTCACTTCGAAATACAATACCAACACCTTATTATTGCGTTCAACTTTTATATTATACGTGGTTATTCTATATGATGCCTGTGATGACGAGGCCGCGCATTATTTTCAATTTGAGGGTCTTCAAGGGGCGACGAAATATTTGCTTTAGGTTTCAGCTCACTCCATGAAAGACAGCTTGACCCTTCATGCTTTCCAAAATGCTCTTCATTAGTTTTAAATATGTTTCCATCACAACTTTCTGGTGCGTGGTTTAATGTACCACGGTTCCTTTAATGATACAAATTATCAACAAAAAAATTAATTAAACAATTTCCATAGGATAAGCTACCGGCTCGATGTTCTTGATCGCGGTCTTTGAAATCTTAGTTGTAATTGAGTGTCTGTCGCATATTTTCCCTCCATAGACTCACGCCGCCGTCTTAATGCTAAAATGAAATTTAATCTTTATTTATTACGAAACACTTTTATGGGATATTTTAATTTTTTAATATGTTTTTATTTTAGTTAACGAGTGTACGAATGTTTAACTAACGAATATTCAGTTACGGTCAAAATATAGTTCATATGTCGAAATACAATGGCTAAGGAATAGAGGACTAAAGTTTCTAGTCGTTCCATTAAGAATATTGAAATTTAATCGTGTTAGTAAATGTTGGCTATCTACATCACCATTAATTAGGTTATGCAAAAAAACTACACCGAGCATTGTCCTACGATTTGTTAAGCTAGGTAAGTTTATATGTAATAGTCTACTATTATAAAATGGAAGGTAAAGATTTTCATCCCAGTTTAGACCTCTGAAAAGTCTAAAGGTAAAAGGTAAAAAAGTCAAGAAATTCTATTGTACGGGTTCTATGCGGTCCTGATGTATTCTATATTGGGGACTCCAGACACATGAACCGTACTCCAGAATCGGACGGACCAAAGAAATGAATAAACTTTAAGTTCTTGTGACCACCTTTTAATAAAACCAAAGATTATAAAGTACATAGATGGGACATCTCATACAAACAAAAATTTGCTATTGCGGGTTCCAGCGCTGGAACTAAAACAGCGCGGCAACGAATGTAGGATAGCCGAGTGGTAGAGTGCTTAACTGATGCGTAGAGTAAAATGTGTTCAAGTCAGGCTCGGGACGTCCACTTTCTATACCCTTGCAGAGGGTATTATAATTTTGTCCAAAAGTGTGCAACGCAGTGAAGGAGACATCTCCGACCCTATAAAGTATATATATTCTTGATCAGGATCACCTCCTGAGTTGATATGAGCATGTCCGTCTGTCCGTCTGTCCGTCTGTCTGTCCGTCTGTCTGTCTGTCCGTTTCTACGTGAACTAGTCTCTCAGTTTTGAAGCTATCGTCTTGAATCTTTGCACACACCCTTCTTTCCTTTGCACGCAGTATATAAGTCGGAACGGCCGGGATCGGCCGACTATATCCTATAGCTGCCATATAACTGATTGATCGAAAATGGTATAACTTTGGTGTTTTTAAATTTAGAGACTTCAAATTTAACATGAGAGCTATTTTTGGCAAATTACGACATGCCAAATTTCATAAGGATCGGCCGACTATATCTTATAGCTGCCATATAACTGAACGATCGGAAATGACCCAACTTTCGTGTTTTTGAAGATAGAAAGCTGGAATTTGCTACAGATTATATTTTTGTTCAGTTAATCCTACGAAATTTCATTAGGATCGGCCGACTATATCCTATAGCTGCCATATAACTGAACGATCGGAAATGGTATTTGGTAGAAATATCAACTTTCGTATTTTTGAAGATAGAAGCTTGGGACTTTTTTTTAGATTTTTTATTGTAATTAATTGGTTTTATTATGATGTAATCATAAGGATCGGCCAACTATATCCGATGTTTGCGATATATATCCAGTTTTAACTGCAAGGGTATATAAACTTCGGCTCCGCCCGAAGTTAGCTTTCCTTTCTTGTTTTAATTTGAAATCTATTTATATTTTATTTTTATTATTTTAAAGTATTTTCCAAAATTTATAATCCAATCAAGAAAAATACTAAATTTTAGAATGACCCTAACATTGCCTCAGTTCTTCATGGAACCCGCTGTAAAAATCTCTATAAGTGCGGGTTCTACGGCATATTAGCAAGCCGCGTCGTGGAACCCGCTGTAAAAATGAAAACATTTGAGAGCGAGTTCCACGACAAACGGCTGGCAGATGAGAGAGGGAAAGAGAGAATTCTATTTTTGGATCGTAACATCTTTGGAACGATGAAAGTTTGACACGTTCAAAACGAACCAATGGGAGCGCAAAGAGATCAGAAATATCTTCTACTATCCTTACTCTTCAGCTCATGTTTATACCCTTGCAGAGGGTATTATAATTTTGGTCAAAAGTGTGCAACGCAGTGAAGGAGACATCTCCGACCCTATAAAGTATATATATTCTTGATCAGGATCACCTCCTGAGTTGATATGAGCATGTCCGTCTGTCCGTCTGTCCGTCTGTCCGTCTGTCCGTCTGTCTGTCCGTCTGTCTGTCTGTTTCTACGCGAACTAGTCTCTCAGTTTTAAAGCTATCGTCTTGAAACTTTGCACACACCCTTCTTTCCTTTGCACGCAGTATATAAGTCGGAACGGCCGGGATCGGCCGACTATATCCTATAGCTGCCATATAACTGATTGATCGGAAATGGTATAACTTTGGTGTTTTAAGAGTTACAGAGTTCAGATTTTGTACGAATGCTACTTTTGGCAAAATCATACGATCTACCAAATTTCATAAGGATCGGCCGACTATATCATATAGCTGCCATATATCTGATTGATCGGAAATGCTATAACTTCGGTGTTTCTAAAGCTAGAGAATTAGGATTTAGTACGAATGCTATTTTTGGCACAATAATACAACATGCCAAATTTCATAAGGATCAGCCGACTATATCCTATAGCTGCCATATAACTGAACAATCGGAAATTAACAAACTTTGGTGTTTTTGAAGATAAAAAGCTGGAACTTCGTACAGATTCTATTTTGGGTCAGTTAATACAACCTACCAAATTGCATAACGATCGGCCGACTATATCTTATAGCTGCCATATAACTGAACGATCGGAAATGGTATTTGGTAAAAATAGCAAATTTGGAATTTTTGAAGATGGAAGCTTGGTACATTGTTTTAGATTTTTTATTGTAATAAATTGGTTATTTTATGATATTCTCATAAGGATCGTCCAATAATCCGATGTTTGCGATATATATCCGGTTTTAACTGCAAGGGTATATCAACTTCGGCTCCGCCCGAAGTTAGCTTTCCTTTCTTGTTTTGGTATGGATTCGCTTACTTTAAAGCCGTACGGTCTCCCTTGAAATTTTATTAGCCGGACACAATGATAAATTAAAAAATTTTACAATTTTAAAATTAAAGAAAAATATTACAATTAAAGAAAAATAAAAAAATAATAATTATAAAAGAAAGTTCAAAGTCCTTGCGAGGATTTGAACACAAAAAAATTATACATAGAGTAACTACTCTATTTTAAAATCTGCGTCTGCGTGCATAAATATTAGCGAGTTCGTTAAAGCAAGGGGCAAGTCGTTAACAAAAAGAATAAACAGTAACGGGCCAAGATGACATCCTTGAGGAAAACCAGATGAAGCACGGACTAAGCAGGAATGTAAATTTAAAAAAAAAACTCTTTGTGTTCCTGCATCTATGTAGATCGAAATCTAAGTAAGAAAGTCTGTAGGAAATCTCAAAAGAATAAGTTTACTCAACAGGAGAAAATGATTTACTAAATTAAATGCTTTACTAAAGTATCAAACATCAGTTTGAAGAAACAAATATTGCTATCGGAAGCCATCTATGACAAAGGATGTCAACTCCAATAAGTTAGTGAAGAAATGGTCGAAGAGTAAAGGACCAATTAAATGAGGAGTAATTAATTTTTCAAAGAACTTGATGATATTGAGGAAAATTTAGTGATGGATAGCATCGAACTTTTCCCTTTTTTATGTAAGAGAATTATAAAAGATTTTTAAATAGATCGGTAATGGCCTGATCAGAGGGCGCAAATGAATTTTCAAACATAAGCAGAGGTGGAAAAGATACGTGTTTAATGTGAACGAGGTTATAAAACTGCTTCGGGTAATGTAACAACAAACTTAACTTGAAAATTGTTTTACCTTTTAGCTTAATAGTAACAACAAAATGGAAAATTAAATACTCTTACTCCCTTCCTACTCCTACTCTTCCCTTCCCTTTGAAATGGCTATAAAATGAAAACGCGTCAATATTTTTCAATTCTGATTTTTGTATTGTAAAGCTTAATTCTTCCGGTTTAATAATGGTACAAAACATCATTCATGTGGCTGCCGCGAATGGCGTGGCAGTAGCCGATGTGATCAGACCAATTTTTGACGACATTCTCGAGCGTGTGGGGCTGTATCTGGCCAATAACTTCGCCGATTTCGGCTTTCAGGACCTTAATTGTTTATGGATTCTTGGCATAACATTTATTTAACATATAACGGCACCCCAGAGATAATAGTAGAAGAAAAACGCCCCAATGATACCACCAGCCCATAATCCGCACCAAACAGTCACTCGTTCGGGATGCATTGGTTTCTCCACGATCACATGAGGGTTTTCCGTTCCCCTGATACGGCAGTTTTGAGGGTTTTCCGTTCCCCAGATACGGCAATGCGGCTCGTCCGAGAAGATGATTTTTCGTCAAAATCTGATTCATTACTTTGGAAGTAAAATTTTACCATTTCCCAGCGGAAATTTTCACGTTCCATTTCGTGAACCGGAGTTGATAAACTGAACAACTATCAATATGCGACTGACATATGTGGTGACGTTCTCGAAATAACTATTAGTTCAAAAAGTGACCGCTACGTGGCCCACCCTGTATTCTCATAGATCTCTCTTTTGCATCCCTTATTTCCGCCTTTACAGAAACTTGGTTAAAGCCGAAGATACTTTTCCATGTTGACAATCAACGCGAATTCAAAATTATAATGTTGTAGAAAAAAAAAATTACAAAACGACTCAGAATTTATAAAAACCAATTTTTAAATTTTAATTATAAATTATGGTAACTTCTAATTATAATTTTTAAGTTATTAAATTAATCAAACAAAAGTACAGAAACAAAAGCAAAACAAATCGCATCAACTTCGCAAAAAATAAAAAACATCTTTCTCCAGCAGAGAAAGAAATAACAAAAAAAGAAAGCTAACTTCTGGCGGCAGTTAAAATATCGCAAAAATTAAATATATGTTAGCCAATCCCTACCAGAATATCATAATATAACCAATTTATTGCAACACAAAATCTAAAAAAAATCCCAATCTTCTATCTTCAAAAATACTAATTTTGGTATTTTTACTAAGTACCAGTATATTCGACGCAATTTCCGATTGTTCAGTTATATGGCAGCTA